ACACAACCGTGGTGTAGGTGTCTCCCATCGACACCATGTACCGTACGGTACTAACCTTTGGTGCGGTACGCCCACCACAAGGCTGCATGTTTGGCGGCAACAGCTTCTGCTGTGCTGTCGCCTGAACAAATTCATGGCCAGTGCTCACATCATGCACGACGCATGTGCAAACACAGTGTACAGGCCCATGAGCCCGTACACGAGGTATGCTGTGTACGTCACGTACCACAGCTACCATACGTGCTCCGTGCACGTCATGTGTGTCATGCACGACGAGTTCATTGCGTGGAACTCCTGGCAGGCTGCTCGACAGCAGCCAGTGCCAATGCACGGTACGTGCGTTGACTCACAGTGTTCAGAGCGCATCGGGTCGTGGTATGGTGCATATCCTTTGCACCTATACCAGTGTCTGTCACAGACACCATGTACCTTGATGGTACTCGACCGTGGTGGGGCATATCTCACCACCATGCCACTGCGGCGTTGGTGTCTGGCATTGACACCGAGTACTCACGGGTATCAACCCATGGTGAGGCAAGCTGCCATCACGACGGTGCCATGCTCGGTGCGGCACCAGTTACGACTGCGTGCCTCGACCACCACCTGGTCAGTTGTGTGTGCACTTGTGCACCACACTTGGGTTATGGCTCCACGGCCCATTATACCCGGCGCGTTGCGTACATCACGTACCGCAACCGCTTTGTCGGCGGGTGAGACGTTCCGTTCACCCTACTCGACAGGTCGCTCATGACCAAGGGACCAGTGCGTTGATTGCACTAGGTCCGCACTTCGCCTCGTGTGTGGTTGCTTGCAACTCCAGCACTGCTGATTCGCTCAGCGATTCCGATGCACCTTGCGTCAGTGGCTATCTTCGCCGCTATGTCTTGTTCGGCTAGAGCTACCGCAACTCTATCCCGGCTGTTCGCCTCCAGCCTGCAGTCGATGTACATCGACGCCTGGTTCCGTAAGGAACTCGGTCTTACCTCAAGACCAGGGAGGAAAGGTATTTCCGAGCCTCTCCCCCACTTACACTTGAGACCATTGAGTCTCTCGTGACTTGACATAGCCACTGGCAGCACGACGGCTACCTGCCTCTTGGAAAGTCAGGGAGGAAAGGTATTTCCGAGCCTCTCCCCCACTTAACCACGAGACTACTGAGTCTCTCGTGGCTTCTGATAGCCACTGGCAGGCGCGACGGCTCTACGCCCTGTGCACTGCGTCGGTATGGACGACCGCGTCGGCCGTGTCGACCGAAGGCATCTAGCTTTCGCGTCAGCAGTTTGAGTCTGCGCGACTTGACGTCGAGCGAGTTGCTCACGTCAGGCGAGGACAAGACAGCGTCGCGCCCCGAGCCAATGGCTCTGTGTGCGGCGCTATGTTACAAGCCTTGGGTGTGGAACTCTGTTACCCACACCGGAAGCGCATACAGCGACTTCCTTATCAGTTATGGTCCGAGTGATCTTGCGTGGAACTTTGTTACCCACGCTCGGAGCACCGAATGTCGGTCTCCTTAAGCAGCGTCGCTGCTTGCGGAACTTGTTACCCGCAATGTGGACCTATGTTATCCACCTGGTGAATGTCCTTCGGCACCACCACTGTCGAAGCGCATACGGCGCGACGATATTCAGTGTTGGGATCAGCTGACGTGGCAGACCCGCACACACACAGAGTTGGTGTCCACCGACCGAGTCCGAGGCGTCCGGGTCCTGGACTCCGATTCGCTTGAAACGACGTCGGCCTGAACAAAATTCAGGCCCGACTTGCGGCGGCAGACGTGACGTGGCACTTTGTTACCCACGTCGTGATGTCTCGTTGACGACATCAGAGGCACTCGAGACCTCGTGTGGCACTGTGTTACCCACACAGGAAGAATGGACAATGCCTTCCTCTTCAGTTATAGTCTGGGCGACTGCGCGTGGTACTGTGTTATCCACACAGGAAGCGCATTCAGCGCCTTCCTCTTCAGTTAAGGTCTGGGCAGCCGTGTGGTCCTCAGTTACCCACCTGGTTAGCGCTTAAAAGCATAACCACTGTTGAAGCCCGTACGGCGCGACGTCCTTCGGCGCTGGACGCTGCTGGTGTAGCAGGTCCACACGCCGGGCAAAGACCCACGCCCGTGGCATTGCCGCAGCGGAGCATGGTCTTACTGTACGCAGAGCTGGCGACGCGTTGACAGCTCCGTGACGCTTCTGCGTCCTGGTGGTCTGTATCAGACGCCCCAGTCATGACGGAGGTGGAAACATGACTCACCAATGCTCCGTCATAGACCTGGACTGGTAGGCCCTTCTCAGCCTTGCCATACCAAAGTCCGGGCTGTGCCTTATGTTCGGCACAGCCATGTTGTTCATGGCGAGAGCTGCGAGCGACACCGCGGTGCGCGAGTTCATCGAGCCGAAACGTTCAGGTCCGTTGAGGACCATTGGTACTTCCTTCACCGTACCAAAGGCTAGTCCACCAAGGACCATACCACGACCGTCACTCTGACATAGAGTGCAGTCGGATGTCGCTATGCCAAGCGACGTTCCGGCGGCGTATCAACGCCCCAGAACTCATCAAACGTTCAAGGGGTACCGGTACCCCCGTACACTGAGTGTACTACCAGCAGCCCATCACTGCCCTTCACCGGTTTGAGAACCACATCTCTCTGGGCAAGTCTCGTGGTGTGCACAGCCTGCACATCCATCACGAAGACTTAGCGCTCTTCAGTAGGGCATACCGCCTCTACCGGTGGCCGGGGAGTCTTCGTCAACCTGACCGTGGCCTGCGCCACCGGACTTGGGGTCCACGGGCTGTCCTCTTCCCGAGGACTGGCGAGGGACACACACGCTGGTAGTGTCCATGCCCACCGCATCCATAGCAGCGGACCAAGCTCTCGGCTGAGCTAATGTACATGGGTTCGGGCTCGCTGTACGCACCGGTATCAACGGGCTGCTTGACAGCAGGAGCAACATCGTCATTGCTGCGAGTCTCCGCCTCCCGAGGAGCGCCATTCTCATCGTGGCGATGTTCCTCTTCCTGAGGAGTACCAACCTGCTTGTGGCTGAACTCTTCTTGGAGGGCGATTCGAATCGCCTCCTCCATAGTTGTCGCTTGCACCCGGAATAGCTGGGTGCGAGCAGGACCGACCTTCAGGCCGTCCATGAAGACTGTTGTCTTGACGTCTTCAGGCAGAGGATTCCCTGCCAGAGATGCCACTAACGTGCGCATCTCTTGCGCGTACTCCTGCAGCTCACGTTTACCTTGCTTTCACGCGAGAAAGCGTGAGCGCTGGCGGAACACTTGTTCGCCGGTAGGAACGCGGCTTGAAGCTGCTCACACAGCTGAGCCCAGGATGCAAAGCATTCAGGAGATACCGTCTCCCTGGTTTATGCCCAATGCTTGGCACGTCCACTAAGGTTGTACAGGGCAAACGCCACCCGAACTAGCTCGTCCGAGATGAGACCCACCATCATGGCGATCTCCACCTCACGGACCCAGAAGTGAAGGTTCTCTCCTTCCTTCCCGTCAAACGCGGGGATCTTCAGCCATACCGGCTTAGGCCTGGTTGCCTGGGGAGCGGCCATCGAGGCCTCCAAACTCCCGCGGACGTGAGCGATGAGACCACGATCGTAGGTCTCAAATACAGTCACGCGTTCTTGTTGCTCGGCAGGCGTCGCCGCCGCCAAGCTGCGAAGGACATCTTGTCCAAAGATGCCTCCCATCTTCAAAAAAGACTCGTACTGTGAGTCGTTCAAGCGAGGAAACTCGCTTCGGTCCATCTTGGTTCAAGCGTTGAGCGCACAGAGGATTCAGGTAGTTCAATCTACCCGCGATGTTGTTGGATTGACTACAAGTGCTACCAAGTGTGACGGGGTCTCACAGCACCTTGCACAGAGGAAATGCTTAAGGGTATTAACTACCCGAGTGAACGTTAGTCCACGTGTTCCCGGCCTCAATGGGAGTGGTTTACTACTTAGAAGAGTAGATTTAAGACTGTTGTATTGATAAGTAAGATAAGCTTGGGTCTTATACAAACTAGAGGTTAGCGAAGTACTGGTACCGTGTACCAGGTGTCCACAAAAGTGACGGGTCACTCTATATGTAACATGGGTCACACTGGATTGTACCCCGTTACAGTGTCACTACCGCTAGAGGCGCTGTTCATCGTGCCTCACGAAGAAAATGTTGAGATCCGTCCAGATATACATTTGTATACATCTCCATTACCCAGACAGTAAACGTTTGTTTTTTTCTTGAAAAAAAACACACTAGAGATTCATTCTAAAGTTTAGAAAGCTCCAAAATCATGATTTTACACTAGATTATAATCCGTAACCATTGCAGGAAATGCATGGAAATCCGTAAAGAAAATCTTCAACTTGAGGTTTCCTCGTCGGGGACCACTTGACAGTTTACGGGCGTATCGCCGCATCTATTGCATTGCAGTAGGTTTGCAACAGTAGACTGCTTGATACCGTTATGCAACCTTGCCCGTGTACATTATGACCAACGAAGGAAAACGTTTCTCTAAATCTCAAATACGAGCCCTGAATTGGAGATAAACACTATGATGAGTTTTCGGAGCTTCGCTCACGCTAAAACACCTTTGGTACTCGGAACGCCCGCAGTGGCGTCGTGCTTGACGGCAGTACGCAGCGCGACGGCCAGCGCCTTGAAGGACGCTTCGGCGCGGTGGTGGTCGTTGCGGCCACGGAGCACATCCACGTGCAGCGTGAGACGAGCGGCGCTGGCGAACGACTCGAAGAAGTGTGTGATCATCTCGCACGACAGCTCGCCCACGCTCGGACGCACCAGCTGCAGGTTAATCTCGCTGTGCGCGCGACTCGAGATGTCCACGATAGCGCGGGACAGAGCCTCATCCAGCGGTACACACGCCGAGCCGAAGCGAGCGATACCCGCGCGGTCGCCCAGCGCGACATCGAAGGCCTCGCCGAGCGTCAACGCGCAGTCCTCCGTCGTGTGGTGGTCGTCGATCCACGTGTCGCCCTTACAGTCAAGTTCCAGGTCGAAGCGACTGTGCTTGGCTAAAGCCGTCAGCATGTGGTCCAGGAATCCAATGCCAGAGCTCACCGTGGACTTGCCCGTGCCGTCTAGCGACAGCTTGACACTGATCGACGTCTCCTTGGTTACGCGCGAGATGCTGGCCTCACGAGCGGCGCACTTGCCAGTCAAAGACGGGGTCTTGTTCGCTGTCGTGAGAGCTGCCGCCACTGGAGGGATGAGGTCCAGCAGCTCTGCAAGTCCCGGAGTCAGCACAACTGAAGCTCCGACCTCTTCCAATACCTTGCCAATAGCTGCAAGTGTTTGGTCTAGGATCGACTTGGCGTACGTCTGTGGGGTCAAGACACCGTAGGCAATAGTTCCAGCCT